CGCCATCAATGGAGCCGTCACACTTCCCCGGCTACCTGCCACCTGCTCCGGACAACCAGGCCTGCCCGACCACGATCACAGTCACGTCAGAATCCTATCCTAGTCGCGGAGGCTTTGTCACCCCGATGCCCTCCCTCGTGACGCCCTACGAACCCGTAACCTCGCACAACATAGTAGTAAGTCCGTGTCGATGTGATGAATGTTCTTACGTGGTGCGGATGGATCCCTGCGAGTGCGCAGAGGAATTTGGATGCGGCTCTGAGCCTCTCTTGTTCAAGGAAACGCAAAATAAGTGACTCGGAAGAAGTGAAGGGTCGGGTCTCCTTGAACAAAGGGGAAAACACAGTCGTCTTTATCATGTGATCCTGCAATATGTGATGCTTTGTTTGCTTGTCATTGATATAAAAAAGTTCTGTATTTTCATGCTGCTGCTTAATGATGGAAATGTAACCCTTTCAATAAACATTGCGTAAACTGATAGGCTCTTATCCACAATCGAAAAAAAATTACTTTCAACTGAATAAAGGATATATCTTCATGATGACGCAGAAGCAATTAATCGAACATAAAATGAATAATCTTTAAGAAAAAGATATCCGAAAAAAAACACAAATAAATAAATGCAAAGAAGAAAAAACGTTAGAATGCAAGCCAAGGACTCAACCACAGCCATGACATACTAAAGATGCGATTATTATTCCAGTATACGAGTATATTCAGGCACATCGCTATTTCACTCACTTTTATTAGCCTTAAGATCGTCATTGTCTGTCTTTCCATAGTTATTTCTTTATCATTTGTTCATTGTATCATGAACAGTCTAATAATTTCTTTATTTTTGTCATTATTGGTATTATTATTGTTATTATTATCATTATTATTATTATTATTATTATTATTATTATTATTATTATTATTATTATTATTATTATTATTACTTTTAATATTACAATAATAATGATAACAATAATAATAATGAAAAAAGAATATTACCATCAATATTAGCATTTATATATGTATATATATATATATATATATATATATATATATATATATATATATATATACATATATATATATATATATATATATATATATATATATATATATGTATATATATGTGTATATATATATATATATATATATATATATATATATATATATATATATATATATATATATATATGTATATATATATATATATATATATATATATATATATATATATATATATATATATATGTATATATATATATATATATATATATATATATATATATATATATATATATATATATGTATATATATATATATATATATATATATATATATATATATATATATATATATATATATATATATATATGTATATATATGTATATATATATATATATATATGTATATATATATATATATATATATATATATATATATATATATATATATATATATATATGTATGTATATATGTATATATATACATATATATACACACACACATGTAAGCATACATATATGTATATTTATATACATACATACATAGACGCATATGCATATATATATATTCACACACACACACACACAAACACAGGCAGATATATGGAGACAGACAGAGGGAGGTGCCAACGTGATCTAATCCATGTTGTATGAAAGGAGAGGGCGAGAGGGGGTAGAGGAGGGGGGAGGGAGAGAGAAGGGAGAGGGAAGGATGGGAGAAAGGAGGAGGAGGAGGAGGAGGGGGGGTTCTCATGCATAGAAACCGCCAGACGCACGCATACCCGGAGAGATGACTTGGTGTTCCTTGGCAACAGGCGCATACTCAATGTCCGAATATCTCATATCGCAAGAAAGAAAGTAAAAAATTTCGATATCTCTTTTCATTAAACCATTTTCATTTGTTGATTTATCACCCCAGCGGGTGATGAAGCAACCGGCAAAAGGAATGTCTTTTCGAGTAACTATAAGGAATAAAAACAACAGAAAAAACCGAGGCGACGTTTTAAAAAGACTCAAGGCCATGCAGATCCCTTTACGTCACAGTAATCAACGAGCTGTTTTTTTTTCTTTTCTTTTTTTTCTTAAGGGAGAAAGCCAAGCAAATGGATGGTTTTATTTGCAACCCCACTTTCTAAACAACGTTTTACCTCAGCTTGTTACTGGATATCAACCGCTATGCAAAATGCAGCAGTTATATGAAAGACTAAGGAAGCGAGATGGAGAGATAGATAGTTAGAGAGATAGATAGATAGATAGAAATAGATACATAGATAGATAGAGAGATCGAGGGAGGGAGGGAGGGAGCGAGGGAGATTATTGTTGTTCTTTCTGGTATCATTCTTATTAAAAAAATTATAAACATTGTTACATATATCATATTCTCTGCTCTCTCTATCTCTCTGTCACTGTCTCTCTTTCTCTCTCCAGCCTCTCTCTCCCTCTCCCTCTCCCTCCCTCTCTCTCTCTCTCTCTCTCTCTCTCTCTCTCTCTCTCTCTCTCTCTCTCTCTCTCTCTCTCTCTCTCTCTCTCTCTCTCTCTCTCTCTCTCTCTCTCTCTCTCTCTCTCTCTCTCTCTCTCTCTCTCTCTCTCTCTCTCTCTCTCTCTCTCTCTCTCTCATTAATACCCTTCACTCACCCGACAATAACACCTACTTCGCACACAGAAACAAAAAAACAAAAACATATTTAACAAACATAATTTCAGGTGGTCGAAGCAGAAGACCTAAACGAACAACAAAGATAAATAAACAACATCCTCTTTATTGCCATGGATCACAAGGCCGGGCCCGATTAGAGGGTGCCAGCGCGGAGGGTTTGTTGGTGGGGGAGTTGGGGGGTTGGGGGGGCGGGGGGAAGTGCATCACAGGGTGGTATATCGTGGCACTTGATGCCCCCGAGTGCCACTGTCTGTCCTCCACATCGAGCGAGTAAGGACGGAATCCACCTCCTCTCTGCATCCAGGTACGAGGTCGTGCTCTTTGGTTTTATCTTCTATTTTGAGCTTATTATTATGTTTTGTTATTGTCATTGGTAGTTATTATTAATATCATCACAAAAAACACCACCACCATCATCATAGGTTTTGATGTTTTTATCATCATTTTCTTTATCATCACCGTTATTATCATCGTCGTTGTCATCATAATATTCATAATTAGCATTATCATTACCATTATTATTTCTACTATTACTGTTATTGCTACTACTACTACTACTACTACTACTACTACTACTATTACTACTACTACATCTGCTACTACTATTACTACCACTACATCTGCTACTACTACTACCACTACTACATCTGCTACTACTATTACTACCACTACATCTGCTACTACTACTACTACTACATCTGCTACTACTATTACTACCACTACATCTGCTACTACTACTACTACTACTACATCTGCTACTACTATTACTACTACTACTTATACTGCCATTACTATTATTAATATTATTGTTATCATCATCTCTCTCTCTCATATTCTGACCCCTTCTCTTCCTCTTTCTTTTTCCCTTTCGTTCCTTCCTAACTTTTCTCTAATAACAATTATGATTATAATGCTGCTAATAGTGGTAATAAGAATATGTATAATGAGAGTGATAAAATAATAATAATGATAATGATAATAATAATAATAATAATAATAATAATAATAATAATAATAATAATAATAATAACAATATCAATAATAATAATAATAGTAATAATAATAATAATGATACTACTACTACTACTACTACTACTACTAGTAATAATGATAACAATAATAATATCAATGTTAATTGTTATAGTAATTATTATTATCATCATCATTAGTGTTGTTATCATGATGATAATAACAATAATAATCATACTGATGATGACGATGATGATAATAGAAATAAGAATGATGATGATGGTTATAATGATCATAATAATAAAGATATCAATAATGACAGTAATAATAATAATGATAGTAATAATAATAATAGTAATGATAATAATGATAATAATGATAATAATAATAATATTAATAATAATAATAATAATAATAATAGTAATTATAATAATGATAATAAAATATAAAAATAATAATGATAATAATAATAGTAATGACAGTAATAATAAAATAATGATAATAATATTGATTATAATTAATGGTAAGAATAATGATAATAGTAATAACAATGATGAGGATAATGATAATGATAATAGTAATAACAATGATGATGATAATGATAATGATAAAAGTAGCATAATAGCGATAATAATGATGATAATAATAATAGTAATGATAATAATAATAATGATAATAATAATAGTAATGATAATAATAGTAATGATAATAATGATAATAATAATAATGATAATGCTGATAATAATGACTTTTTGTATTATCCTCCTGAGTAATAATGATAATGATGATGATAATCATGGTGGTGGTGATGGTGATGATGATGAAGATGATGATGATGATGATGATGGTGATGATAATGATAATGATAATAATAATAATGATAATAATAATAATGATGATGATGATAATAATAATAATAATAACAATATCAATAATAATAATAATAATAATAATAACAATATCAATAATAATAATAATAGTAATAATAATAATAATGATACTACTACTACTACTATACTACTACTACTACTAGTAATAATGATAATGATAATAATAATAATAACAATAATAATATCAATGTACTTTTATTATCATCATCATCATTATTGTTGTTATCATGATGATAATAACAATAATAATCATACTGATGATGACGATGATGATAATAGAAATAAGAATGATGATGATGGTTATAATGATTATAATAATAAAGATATTAATAATGACAGTAATAATAATAATAATAGTAATGATAATAATAGTAATGATAATAATAATAATAATGATAATAATAATAATAATAATAATAATAATAATAGTAATTATAATAAATGATAATAAAAGATAGAAATAATGATGATGATAATAATAATAGTAATGATAGTAACAATAAAATAATGATAATAATATTAATCATAATTAATGGTAAGAATAATGATAATAGTAATAACAATGATGATGATAATGATAATGATAAAATTAGCATAATAGCGATAATAATGATGATAATAACAGTAATTATTAAGCAATAATGATTTTAATAATGATAATGCTGATAATAATGACTTTTTGTATGATCCTCCTGAGGTAATAATGATAATGATGATGATGATGATGGTGGTGGTGGTGGTGATGATGATGAAGATGATGATGATGATGATGATGATTATGATGATGGTGATGATAATGATAATGATGATATCAATAATAATGACAATAATAATAATAATAATAATAATAATAATAATAATAGTAATTATAATAATGATAATAAAATATAAAAATAATAATGATAATAATAATAGTAATGACAGTAATAATAAAATAATGATAATAATATTGATTATAATTAATGGTAAGAATAATGATAATAGTAATAACAATGATGAGGATAATGATAATGATAATAATAATAATGATAGTAATAATAATAATGATAATGATAATGATAATAATAATAGTAATGATAATAATAGTAATGATAATAATGATAATAATAATAGTAATAATAATAATAGTAATAATAATAATAGTAATGATAATAATAGTAATGATAATAATGATAATAATAATAATGATAATGATAATAATAATGACTTTTTGTATTAT